CGCCACCCCCCCCCCCCCCCCCACCACCCCCCCCCCCCCCAAAAAAAAAAAAAAAAAAAAGAAAACCCAAAGGACCTATCAAGCAAGGGAAGGGGGAAGCCATTCATTTGTCTCTCTTGACTGATTACCTGCCTTTTACTAGGGGAAAATGCCCAGCCAAGACTTCCTGGCTGGCTGAACAGGGCCCAGAGTGTTGCTTCTGCTCAGAGCTTCCAATGCATGGCTAAAAATCAGAGCTAATGCTTTATGGAAATAAATATTTCAAAACCACTTGCATTCTGGCCTGCCAGATGGCCGCATTTCACACTTCCAACTGTGTCAGACTCCAAAAACTTAGCAACTCAAATTTTGAGGCGGGGTTTATGATCCTGGAATAGGGGTTGGGATGGTGGATGGGTGATATAAGAAAGATTTTTCCCATTTTTCTTTTTAATCAATGGAGGGATTCCCATTTCCTTTACTTGAGCAGCACAGCCCTGTCGTAGGGGTATCACTCACAGGCAATTGCAGGAGTACGTCCACTCAGCCCCCATCGTCAGCCTTCTTCCCTAGTTACCCACACCTCTTGCGCTCTGCCTCCACCGACCTTGAATCCCGGGTTAGGGTAGCCACTCTCATAGTCTCGGCTCACTGTGTGGACGGACTCAAGGAGCACACCTTTGAGATGGGTCGACGCACTTAGATTTCCTTTCATTTTAGACACAGAGGTACACGGGGACCCAAAGAGAGAGGACTGGAAGTTAAGGTCCTCTGAATCCTTTTAGATTCACTTTTGATTTTGCTTGGGTCCACCCTGACTGATGTTCAGGACTTTGCTAAGAAAGACCATGGTGGGGCCAGACAGCACAATGGTAAAATGCCATGTTCTGCAAAGCTAACCCACATGGGAAGAATGCTCGTTCGTGTCTGCAGACCTCCCTGAGGTTGGGTGTGGACCACAGTGTCAGAACCTCATTGGGGATGCTGTCTTTCTATCTCTGTCTCTCTTGTTCATGGAAGAAGTAAATAAACTTAAAAAAAAATCATTAGAGGCTGTTTCCATGAGGCAGAGGTAATGCACTGCTCAAGGGAAGCCAGATCTCACATGGCAACAAAGGTTCAAATCGCCAGCCCGGTCACCCTGGAACGCTCTGGACATTGGCGAGATTGCCTGAGATCTGAAGGGTCGGAGGATTGGAGGAAGGGACTGTGTTGTGACCACGTGTTTCTCTCTGTTTCTCCTTCTCATGTGTGTGCACACTCTCTACCATGAATAAAGAAAAAATGAAAATAAAGGCACTAAGATAGGTCATTTAAGTCTCTTATTTTTTATTTTCATTTTTAAAAAATTTGCTATAAGTCATGTGTACTTGCTGGAGAGAGAGACACAGAGAGAGAGAGCGAGAGAGAGAAATCCCCTCCCTGGGGGGATGGCCACACCACAGTCCCTTCTTCTCCATTTTCCTCTCAGGATTTTGGGCACGCACGTACACGTGCCTGGCATGATTTTCAAGCCACTGGGTCTGGGACTCAAACTGTGCAGCCGGCCATGTAAGATCCAGCTGCCTTAACCTCCACACAAGCTGTTGGCCCTGTCTTATGTTTTTTACTGTTAGTTGTAGTATTGTTATTATTATGCAAGTAACTTATGTTCGCTAGAGAAAAATTAGGGGGCCGGCAGGTAGCGTGGTAATTAAGGGCACTGGACTCCCACATGACCAACCGAGGTTTGAGTCCCGTACTTGGTGGCTTGCTTTCTCACTTTCTCTCTCTCTCTTTTACTCTGTCTCTTTCTGGTCAAATTAAAAGAAAAATAAATAAATAAAGTTAAATAAAATAACTCTTTTTTTAAAAAAAGAAAAATTAGAAGATGAGAATAGGAAGCCAAAATTTAAAGCATTTTACACACACACACACAAATCACCATAAGTCTTACAATACAGAGAAAACCATTGGTGATATTTGAGTGTATGTTTGTTCAGATTTTCTCTGTAGATACACACACACATATGTTCATAATGTCTTTCATGACATGAAGTTTATACTATATCTACTGTTTTCAGA